AAACATGATGATGTTATATATTATGTATATGTGTGTACGTGTGTATGTATACAGTACTGGAAATAAATAGCAGAAAGCTGAAAAAAGTATAAAGGCAAATACTACTGGAATACTGCCTTTTATCATGTGAAAAATAAACTGCACCAGAATACAACCACGTGTTGATACCTTACACTGTGATTGGTCGTCATTTAACAAACCAAAAGGTTCTGCACCAGTGTAATGCCTAAGAAAATATAAACAGTCATATTATTCCCAGTAATAGTAGTAATCGTATGTTTCCAGTTATGGCGCTCAAAATTAAAATGTTGCATAACAAACATGAAAAATCAAAGTTTTTATTGCCCATCAATACTCCAAACGAAAAATTTCAGAAAAATACGAGCTGTATGCAAAACTCTGAATAAAGTATGTGAAACTAGTGCTGTTAATAATAGAAATGGTTGAGGTATAAAACCGATACTCTCCGAAACTTGTGTTAAGTAACTCAGGTTATTTCTTTTACGATTTCGACGACTGACGAATACAAATCTTGACAACGACCTTTCTGTAAATAGAGGTGTGTATTTTTTTTTTTTTGGTTTCGACACAATGTTACTTTGAATCTTACATGTTTTATGTATAAATTAACATAAAGTCTGTTCATTTTAGGGTTACCTAGATTGTTAGTTAAAGCAATATATGGATAATCATATGAAGTACTCTTTTCAAATAGCCACATTGTAACAAAATTGATGAAACATACATTATTAATTTTACAACAGATGCTTTGCTTATTATTGAATAAATGAATACTGAAAATAAAATTATAATATTAAAATTTCATTATAATATTGTAAATATTTGTCTAAAATTCTTTGAGATCTAGTTCATTATGACGTCACTTTTGTAATTGCAGGTTATGACACCTGTCAAGACCGACTTTTCTGTACTTTTCTTCATATCTTGACTTGCATATATTATCTAATTTGCTAGTAAATTCGTGAAAATGCACATAGAACTAAGTGATTGTGTAGCGAAGGCCATGTTTACACTAACAATGTTTTCGTCCAAATTGTTGCCGTGTTTATTTTGGTCACGTAACTGCATAACATCTATACCGAATTCAACTTCTGATGCGCCCTCTGGCGACCTTCTAGGAATTAACACATATGGCACCACAGATCACATGATCTCCTGTTTACAGAGTATATTCCCACTGGGCATCAGCCTTTGATCTTCATCCCTTGATAAGCCACCACTAGAACAATCTTTGACCTCAAGAGACGGAATTCTTTAGCATCTGGATAAGCTCCTTGACTATTAGTAGTCGATGAAACACTCACAGCCGTGGGCTTATCTGCGCAAACTCCCGATATTAGCATTTTTGAGGCTATATTAGCATCTGTAAAACTGAGAAGCTCAAAAGGCAGTCAAGCAGCATAGCTGAATTGTGGGGAGTAATACAGGAGAATTGAAAATATCGTTGCACAGTCGTACATTGATAAAGAGTATGGCTGCGTGAAAATAAGGTGTAATGCTCTGTGCAAAAACTTCAAAAACAAAATACTAGTGCATTATACAATTTATTCGGTTCTCTGTGATAATGTTTAGCATTATTAATAAGTTCGTCAAATAATTACTGTTAGTTATTATTTGTGATACTTGTATGTGTATTGATTGTGTTTCCATAATAATTTCCATTAATGTACATATGCATATTGTAATGCAGGTATTGTTTACAACGTTTTCTCATTTCTTTCGTCGTTTTATTAAAATTTTCACACGAAAACATAAATACGGCTATTAAAACATAAATACGGCTATTAAAAGCATCTTTTTAATTGTACTCTATTCTCACGTTCACACAACAGATCTCGCATCTTAGAATCTAAGAATGATTAAATTTGTAATATTTAGAAGTATTTTATTTTTGAAATGTCCACATATACCACAATAAAAGTAATAATAGAAATCACCTTTCCTAGCCAACAATAGGCCCTTCCTCGCTAAATTTACATCTAAATCACATCACGATGTATTGTATAGGCTTGTAAAAGTTATTGACACAGGTGGTCATTTGGAAGCAATATTAAACGATGAAAGAAAGGCGCAGTCCTGCAAGGCGGAATAGTTATTGGTGGTACGAAGGTTCGAGACGTTTCATTCTTCCTACTAGATCCCAAACCACTACTGATAATGATCTGAATAATTGGTAAACCACTGGATGCACTACCGTGAAATATCGTTCTGGTGGCCCAAAAACTGTTCCTTGTCACTACATTCAAGCTTTGAAACATGTCGTGAAATGAAACTGCACACAATGACATAAAGCTATTACCTATAATCGTAATGAGAGTAAAGAAAAGCAGAGAGATTCATACTGTTGAAGTTTATGTAGCTATTCAGTCGATTATACAGCCGTAAATGCAAAGTCTCAGATCTCATGATACCTTGAGCGTTGAAAGCGAAGTGAAAAATAATTGAAAGTCATCATGTGGCGTGATTAATTTCTTATTTGGGTGGGTATGTCTGCGTTTGACAACAACCAGGAGAACGCAATGGCTACAACTATTTCATCCCTATTGTGAAGAGTAATGGGAAAAGAATATGGTACGGGCTTGTTTTAGCTGGTCTGGTTTTGGCCAATAATAATAATTAAGGGATCTGTGAATGTCTTCTATTGTGACATTATAGATAAGGCTACACTGTTTATATTGATAGATCGTTATAACTCGTGCATTATGTTCCATGCCGTTTACATCAGTCATTTGAGACAAATGATGTCCAGAGTCTGGCTTGCCCTCCCTTGGATCCCGACCTGAGCCGCAATGAGCCTTTCTAGATGTGCGTAACTGCGCCTGAGTTCCTTTACATCAGGAGTAGCAAATGTTGATAGAATATTTCAAGTTGTGCTTAAAGCCAAAAGTGGAACTACTTGCTATTCATACGAACCTCAGCAGTAAAACAAGACACCCTTTTCTCAATGTGTATTGTCCTAAACGTTTTATCAGTATATAGTTGAATAAAATTCTAATAAAGATTTTTGGGTTCCCTTTCTATTTACCTATAAATATATAGTACTTACAACTAGAGATGTATTATCACTACAGTTACTTCCTGCATAGGACAGTCCTGCATAAACAAATTTTTTGCTTAAAATATTTTATTCTATACTGACAAGAACAAAAACTCCCTCAATTCTGAAGCATCATTCTTTTCACAGAATAAGAAACTAAAGTTTACCTCTGGCAATAGCCAAACTGTGACAGTGTTTAACTAACGATTTCTAGCTATTGCTATCATACTGGCAGATATCTATTCTAATAATGGCTGGAGACGGCTTCAATGGGTAATGAAGAAAAACTTTAATATAAGTTTAACATAACACAAATGTACAACGTTTCGACAAGGTTTTGTCATTCATTACCCATTCAAGGTGTCTCCAGCCATTATTAGTCTCAAAGTGGGTTCCTCGTTATCGAATTTGGATATCTATTCTATTTTAATACAATACATTGTATTTAATGGAATCGTTTAACTTACACATCAGTTGGTGATGTCTCATTTTTAGTTCTGTAAAACAATATATGTTACTAAACGCCGTATTATAAATAATTACTTATTTATCTTCTAAATATTATGCTTTGCAATTATAGACTACAAAGTAATATATGTAGCTAAATTTTTATTGCATTAAAACTTTGTATAGTCAAAATTGGAATTACGATCGAAAATTTCGCTAACAGAGAGAATACTCAACTGGTTAATACGTACATTCTAATCATTATAAGTTTCTCTTTCATTAAACACACTCCTAATAAAAACGGTATATTAAATTACTGTGTTAGGTTTTAGTTCTAATCTATGTAGGTAGCTTGCTTTGATCAAATTATTATTGTTAATGCTTTATTGGAAGAAACCCTTACGAACGTCTTGCTTCCTTCATAGAGCAACTTCTTATTACGCTTTGTTTCTTCTATCCCTCATTATTATTATTAACACATGTCAATCACCATCTTCTGGAATCCCTTCGCAAAAGTATATTTTAAGTTCATTTTAACTTAAAAAAGTCTTTACTTTGCTTAGCACATTAGACGAGAATATAATTTTAGTAATTACTTCACATATAAAATCTAAACAAATCAATTAAGCGTTTGACCAACGAAAGTATTCAAGTATCATTTTAATTAAATGTTCCTAATTTATTGTGTAATAAGTGCATAAAGAAAGCGTTTATTTTGATTCTTTTCTCAAATCAAATGTCGTGTTTGTGAAGCAGAATATGAAACTCAGATGTTACCAAGTACAAAATTTTATTTATACCCTATTAAATTTTATTCTAGTTTTCTGCTTAGAAAAGAATAATACTAAATAAATTATGTTATGTTTCAAATAACTATTCACAGATGGCGCGTCATACAAGACTAAGAATATTAAAAAGTAGTTTTAGTTGCACTAATAGACTATACATCCGAAGAAAAAAATTGTGTACGCTAGATTTAAAAGGAAAAAAATCCCATGTGATTTCATTATGCTGAATGTAACTCCATCAGAATGTTTCAAATGTAAACGAAGCAGATTATTGCAACATGTAACAAACGGTGTACTTGAATGTAGCTATTTATCTCATAATTCACCTCGATTTCAAAAGACCCAGAATCTCGATTGCTTTCTAATAGTTGACTATTTTACTTCAGGAGTTTTGTCTTGTACAACATGCTTTCTCGGCGATTTTAGATAAAACCAGCGTTTAGTAATTATGTGCTTAAAGCTACTCACTGAAACAGAAAATCTGTTTGGATTAAAATCTTGTTTTCTTGTGTCAAATTTCTCTACAAACATATTTAAATAATAATATTGTACGAAATTTCTCTACAATTTTCATTAATATACCTTATTCCAAATACATTATAAATAAATAGAGCTTCACTATATTTCTGGCAGTCTCTTTTTTTTTTTCTTTCTTATATGATTTTCCAAAAGGTTGTGACGAGTTTTGTTTTTTGTTTTTTTATTAGTGAATAAACACACACATTGACAAAAAAGGGCCAATATTTTCTATGCATACAAATAAAATTTAGTGCCGTTTTTGAAATAATGAGATAGAATATAGAAAGCTTTCCTTTCTATACTAATTCCAGTTTCGGGTAATTGCCTTCTATTTTCTGAGTAATAATAATTCACGCACGAAGATCAAACCAAAGACACCTTTCATGGGACACCTAGAATCTCTCGTGACTCGAGGGAAAAACGAACTTCGGAAACATTAATAATCTACCGCCATCGTTATGATAGTAATTTGATTATTGATGTTCCACTTGGCTACCACTGTTTTGCTGTTAAACGAGTGAAATAGCTCGGGTCACGCAAGTAAGAGCATTGTGTACGTGAATTGGACGCTCGAACTTCTTCTCCATCGATTTCTGATTTTGTGTGAAAGAGTCAGTCAAATCAAGTCTTGGTTTTTAACATTGAAATAATTTTACGCCTCGTGTCTGCAAATCAGGAAACGTTTTTCCCCAGAAGAACAAGCTACAGAAAGAAAAATAAAGAACATAAAACACACAAATAAGAACCAAAATAGGTAAGCTTCAAAGTTATGAAGTGTATTTATTTTGAATTTTAATATTATGCCTTTTTTCTTTTTACAGAACCACTTCTTACCATATACATTATTAGTGTATTTATTTAAATACTTATTTCGGGGGGGGGGGTCATATTAAAAGCAAAACCATACACCTGTAGCGAAATAAGCTTAAACAATATAAAAAACCTGGATTAACTTGTAATGGCTCATGATAAAAGTACAGCGAAAGTTCAAGTACCCTTGACTGGTCACAATTAACTCAAAATGTAAGTACTTTTAACTGCTACAAATAGCCCAGAATTCATGTACCATAGAATAACTAATATAGTGCGGAACAATCTCTTACTGGTTACTAGTAACTTACAATACCAGTACTTTTGACTGGCTAAAATTAAATCACAATACAAGTACAATAAAATAATTAATATACGTTCTTTGAATTGATGTTACATAACTCAGTGAATATGAGAATTCAGAAAGTATATTAAAGTGCCTTAAAAGGCGGTTTCTTTACACAAAGCTCATACTACAAGTGCCCTAGAATCTATATAGCTTAGATTTCAAATTCATTGAACTAACTATATTACCTCAAAAGACTCACAGGCGCACCCTGCTCAAATTTGGTACTACAGGCACCCTGAACTGACTCCATGAAGCATAGAAGCCTACCGTCATATAATATTTTTTGCTGATTTATTAATAATTAAGGTTGTGCTTTCAAGTATTTTTCTATATAACCACAAATATATTTCTTACGAAATGACTTACTTGTATTTTGCAAGATGTCGTATGAATACGGAATAAGTATAAATAAATTATAAATACTATTCAAATAAAAATTAGTCAAATAAATGGGAGAAAAAAACATGTATAAAATAAAAAGAATACAAAGGGTAACTCATGTTTGATAAAGTTAGTTTTAGGAACATTTGAACAGTTTGTAAAAATTTATCTTATGAAATTCCTCTGTCAGTCTATCATAAATATAGCAGACTACTTATGAGAATTTCAACTTCACTTAAGGCTATTTTTTCTACCTTCAACAACTTCAGATAATTTGTGTGTTTGCTGTTTCTCTTCCTTTAAAAAATATAAAGTTACTGGGAAGAGAATATAGCCTGGCTGTTTTCATTTATCTTTATGCTGGAAAATACACATTTTTTTATAAGAATAATTATTTCCCTCTTTTTTTTTTCCAAGTTATGATTTAACTGATCATAAGAAGTATGGTCCCGAATAGACAGATATCATTTACAGGCTTAGCAATACATTAGTGAAAACTCAATCTTCTTAGTGTCACAGTGTATTATAGGTAAAACTGTATGATTCAAAATTATTTTTTATAAGCAAATGATTTACTAATGAAGAGATATAGGAAAATAATTGTTAGTGGTATGGAATAAGGTGTAATAATATCATTAAGATCGTCTTCAAGATCATAACATTCAGAAATTATAATAACATTCGTCACATACCCAAAGTGTCACTGGCAAAGTTGTAACCATAAGAAATTAAAATTTCCAAAATCCCTTCTCAAGAAAATAGATAGTCATTAATGCACCCCTTCCACGCACATGGAGTGTGTCACAAAAGATCGTAATCTGACCATAGCATAGATTGTTACACAAACCTAAGATTTAGGTGCAAAGTAAGAATTTTGCATAAAGAGGAGACGTTGCATCTGTGAAGGGCCGAAATGGTTAAAAAGTAAAAACAAACAACTAAAAAAACAAGCCCCTACGTAAAGCAGCACAGAAACAATGTGCCGGAGCTGCTCCCAAATAATCTAAATAATAACATGTATGGAGAGTGAGTGGCATTAGAAAGCCTGAACTGTATATCGAATGGTTCCTAGATGATCAGAATCCTTCACCTCAGATGGTAGAAAACTTGTGTCAGTAGCTGCTGTTGATCAGCATCCTTCACCTCAGATGGTAGGAAACTTGTGTCAGTAGCTGCTGTTGATAGCATCCATCACCTCAGATTCTAGGAATCTTGTGTCAGTAGCTGCTGTTGATCAGCATCCATCACCTCAGATGGTAAGAAACTTGTGTCAGTAGCTGCTGTTGATCAGCATCCATCACCTCAG